TAGTTAGTGCCTGAAGGTCTGTTTTGAACCAGTAAAAACCATAAAACCCATAACACTGTCTTGACTGCCTTGCTCATGGAGTCTAGAGAAGCTCATCAAAGAACTCATAGATCAGATAACTGAGAGTGACCTTGACCAGTATGAGAGAAAGTCAGTGTGTGTGAGTGTATAATGGTGTCCCAGTGTCTTTTATTTCCACAGACAGCTGATATCCCCCCCTCCCCCCTCTGCCACTCTTTCACTCGGCCCAATAGCCCAAAGTGGAAAAAATATCCAACATGTTTTTTATCTTAGTTCCCTTTCATTGTCGTCTCTTCTTCACTTATGATTTGTACTCGTGGGTCTGTTGCCTTTGCTTTCCTGAATCTCCTCCACTGAATCCAATTCTGTACTGACAGGTTGAAAGCACTGAATTTCTGCATCATCTTTTGAGGTCTTTGATATCCTGAATGGAGCCATATTAACCTCGCTGGGAAGAGATTTCACTGTCATGCAGGATCATAAATTGCTAACATTCATATGTAAACCAGGCTTTTGAACTGCTGCTGCTTTGAACCATAAAAATGACACAAATTAACAGGTAATTTTGAGGTGGAGCTCCAGTTTAAATGCTCCTATGTTGTGGTTACGTTTGACTAAACACCTGAATATTTGTGACTGAATGTCACCATATCACCTTTATGGATATAAATAGCTGTAATTCCTAAACAGTTTTCATAGTAGTAGCGTCCCTTGAATTAAAGCTGAGAGTCTGCACTTCAATCACATATTTATTGTTTAGTTAAAATCTACTTGTTAGATTATAAAACTATAAGATTGTGCCTTTGCCCAACACGTTGTGGATCAAGCTGTATACAGTACAAAGCAGTTCTTTAAATTGTCTGAAAATAGCAGCAAAACCAGTTAAATGTCCATCAACCTGTCTTAAAACAGCCTCTGTGATTAACACGCTTCCCTTAGGTTACTTCAAAGCAATTCTTCTGTCACATATCATAACTGGGTATAACTGGATTTAATTTACACACATGTCTTTTGGATTAGCATATTTAGGACGTCAAGTCAAAAGCGGACATTTGAAAGTCCTGTTTCCCCCTTTTAGTCAAAGGTTAGTAAACAGGATGCGGTGAAAAACTGCCTGGACCTGACCTTTAATCAGTGGAGCAGACTCCCATGAGACACAGCACATACACACAAAACACACACAAATCATTAAGCTCTTATTAGTGGCATCACTAAAAGCTTTTCACATCAATAGTAAGTCTGGGCTTTATGCCATACATCTTCTAAAAAACTGCAACACTGGCTGATATTTAGGATTTACAGCAGGAATCCGCCTCTCAAAGGAAATAAATGACCTGACTGAAGATGACAAAAGCAAAGTGGCCACAAATGAGATAATTGTTGTGTGTTTAGAAAACGCTCGGTGAGGACAATGATGGGAGTCGAGCCGTTGATAATTCTTTCAGGTACGAGGCTCCGGTTCACTGTGAGCTCTGTATTTTTATCTTCCTCATTCATATTCCACACGAGATGCTCAGACTGTGTCAAATGGTTGATAATTGCAAAGAGTGGAGAGAGTCCCACTTAGACAGCCAATGTGATGTGACCAAGGCCAGACCGGCTCTTGTGATTGTAGGAAGGGCTGAATACCATCAGAGCACAATCCATCGCTCAACACCATTACAGTGGCAGCCTGTGATTGGCTGGTTTCAGATGAAGTTGGAAGTTGGTCATCTTTGTGATTCTTTTTTATGTCCAACACAGAGAATCACTTTATAGTTTTGTTGAGCCTCAATTTGCTAAAACTTTTTCCCAAGCAATAAAACAAACTGTAGACTCATGCTTACACTGCATTAGAAGACTTAGCAAAGATTTATAAAAGACTAATGTCCCGTGTCAAAGCTGGTTGCCTGTCCACTTCATATAATATTTATATCCATCAATATTCATTCATGTTGACATTTTAGTCACATGGGACTTACTTCAGAAGATGTGAAAGACTAGAAGATGTTACTTTTCAAATCATGTCTTTCCAACTGATTTTAATATTTTGATTCTTTTAAGCTTTCTCTTTGGGTATACCAAATAGGTAAAAAAAAAAAAGTAGTTTACACGTTACCTGCTACTATTTAACATTCAACTTTAACATCACTCTGAGTTCTTCGCTAGCTTTGTCATACAGTAGCATGCTGCATCACATACTGAAGTTTTTAAAGAGTGGATGTAGTGTTAGCAGTGTAATCCAAATCTGTCAGTCCTTGGGCATAATTTGCACTTTACCATGGCACTCTGATCCTTTAATACAGGGGTGGGGAACTCCAGGGCTCAAGGGCCGGTGTCCTGCAGGTTTTAGATGTGACCTTGATCCAACACATCTGATTTAAATGGCTAAATGAACTCCTCAACACGTCTTGAAGTTCTCTAGATGCCTGCTAATGAACTAATCATTTGATTCAGGTGTGCTGCCCCAGGGTGATATCTAAAACCTAAAACCGGCTTTTGAGGCCAGGAGTCCCCACCCCTGCTTTAATGGAATTAAATTAAAAGTAATGATAATGTGACAATTCTTCTAATGTTGTAAAACACTACATCATTTTCCATCTCATTGCACATAAGCTGAAATCCCCTGATTCCAGTGCAAACGCGTAGGAAGAAGAAACATTTTTTCTTTCCTTGTCAATTATCAGTTATCTGTCAGTCGTGCAGATAATTGAAGTACCTTTGTAGCCCAAGTAATGACAAATTGTAGCTGAAATCCTGTTGTGATTACAGCAACGTGTGACTTTGTAATACAAAAATAGAAAATTCACATCCGAGTAATAATGAAGCATGAATTTTACCTTCATGCCTAAGTGTAAAGGTTTCCCAGTGGTGCTAGGTCTCGCTTGGCACGTGGTCATTCAGGTCAGGCTCAGGGCAGAGTTATTAGTCGTTTACGTCAAAAGGACCCATTTGAGGGGGTTTGGGAATCTGACTAGGATGCCTCTGCATCTCATCGATGAAGGATTTAGGGCCTGATCTAGCAGGTGAAGGCCCCAGAGAAGACCCAGGACATGATGGAGAAATCTCTTTGCTGGCTTGGGAACACATCTTTGTCCCCACAGATGAGTTGGAGGTGGTGTCTGGGAGAGAGGTCTTGCTGTCTCTGCTTACAATACTGCAAGCAGAGACTGGATGAACAG